TGAACCTCACTATTACTTATTACTACTACTATTACTATTACTACTACTATTCACTGTTATTACTGCTTACTACTATATTACTTTACTACTAACATTACTTTATTACTACTACTATTACTTGTTATTAACACACTACTGTTACTACTACTAACTACTATCTAACATTACTATTACTACTAATATTACTATTACTAACTAATTACTGATACTTATACCACTAACTATTGCAGCTATATTAGGCTATATATCTTAACTTTAAAATGCATACAAATTTACTACTTAAGCTAATTAACTCATACTACTATTGCATATATATTTACTACTAATATTACTATTGACCTATTATCTCACACTACTGGCTATACTACTGGGTTATTAAGCTCTAACTTACTTAAAGTACTAATTACTTATATAACTAACCCTACCTATCACTACTTTAGCTTAACTATTTTTATATCATATTTAACAATACCTGAATAAAATCTATTAGCACTGGGGCTATCTACTAATCCCATTACTATCTGACAACTATCCACATTGAAATTGATTATTCAGTAATTATATATCAAAAAATAGGAGAAACAATTCTCAACCAAAAAAGGTGTCAATCACAGCTGCGTAAAATAATTAATAGGTTATATACAGTTGTCTTGAGCGATTCTAACAGGATATGACTTCACAAAGATAAAAAAAAATACTATTAGTCCGTATGAAATAATAAAGTGTAATATGATTATGAAATTTTCGCGTGATTTATAACCGTTAAGTGTTTGGGATCATATTGTGTGATATCTAGCCTAGCGACACGATAATCATGGTGGTTATTGTGCTATGACATAAATGTTGGCAAACTCCGGGTGGATGAAGTTGAATACATAAATCAGAATGAAGTCCGATTCCTGTTTTTGGGTGGTGGGTAGTGGTGCGAAAAAGAACACAAATGGACGAATAATTACAATGAGAGAAGAGAGAGAGAGATAGAGAAGAGAGAGAGAGAGAGAGAGAGAGAAGAGAGAGAGAGAGAGAGAGAGAGAGAGAGAGAGAAGAAGAGAGCAGAGAGAGAGAGAGGAGAGAGGAGAGGAGAGAGAGAGAGAAGAGAGAGAAGAGAAGAGAGAAGAGAGAGAGAGAGAGAAGGAGAGAGATAAATGGTCAATATATATATATATATAATATATATAAATATATACATATATATATATATATATATATAGCCATATGATAAGTCGGTAGTAATAGTGACTACCATTATATAGAGGCTCAGAGAGAGAGAGAGAGAGAGACGCAGAGAGAGAGAGAGAGAGAGGAGAGAGGGAGCAGCAAAACACGGCTCAAGAAGGAGAAGAGAGACTCTACAGAGCGAGCAATTAGCAAACCCCCAAGGACGAGATCTAGTGCAGGCTGCCCACGGACAGAGAGAGAGAGGGAAAGAGGGAGAGAGGGAGAGAGGGAGAGCGGAGAAGAAGAAGAGTCCAGAGGAGAGTGAGAAGAAGGTGGACAAGTAGAGAGAGAGAGAGGAGAGGAGGCTCTATCGAATGACGTGTACAGTAAGAGAGAGAGAGAAAGAGAGAGAGAGAGAGGAGAGAGAGGAGACAATGTTGAGCATGTATGTGTGGATGCACAGGAGAAGAAGAGAAATACAAGACATGAGCACATTGGATATAGTGCAATAGGGAGAGCACTGAGGACGGAGAGAAAAAGAGAGGCAATTGAGAGAGAGAGAGAAGATCCGAACAGGAGGAGAGAACGGAGCCAGGTAAGAAGGAGCGATCAGATTGAGAAGTTGGAGGGGTGAAGAGGAGTAAGAGGAGAGAGGAGAGAAGAGAGAGAGAGAGAGAGAGCCGGGGAGCGGAGCCGAGGAAGACACGTGAAGCGAGGAACGAGTTATGGTTCTAGAGAAGTATGGTCCATAGTACAAAAGGTCTTGTGAGCAGGAGAGCCACAGTATTTTGGAACAGAGAGGCGAAAGAAAGAGATAGGAGAATATGCTGATATAAAGGAAGAAGAGCAGTAGGCGCGAGAGTGAGAGAAAGAGTGATGGAGGCTAGAAGCGAACGTAGGGTATGGAGGATAGGAGTAGACGAGGAAGAAGGTAGAGACAGGATGAAATTTAGGGAGCGAGGGAAGACTATTGTAGAGATAGAGAGAGGCTAGAGGAGGAGTAGAGAACAGGAAAGAATAGAAGAGGAAGAGTCGAGAGAGGGAGAGAGGAGGATGACGCTAGAGAGAGAGAGAAGAGGACACGAAGGAGAGGTAGAGTAGATAGAATGAGAGCCCCGTTAAGAGAGAGCATGGTGAAATGAAGAGAGATCGCGATATATATTTTATACATGATTAGACAAGAAAGTGAAGGACGAAGAACCACGACAGCAAGGTGAGAGGCGAGAGGAACCGAAACGATTGAGCGCTTTTCAAAGTGCAAGAATGTTGAACACTAAGAGAATGGGATAATGTAATTCATATATACATATTAAGGTCATATGCGAGTATTATAAGAGGGCGTCAATAGGTATGAGAGAGAGTGATAGTGTGGATGAGTAGGAGAAAGTAAGATAGTATAGTATTATAGAAAACAGTCCACTAAGTAACAAGCTAAGGCACAAGCTACACGCGCACCATCAATGTATACAACCAGTACATATACCTATAGGCATATATATATATATAGAACTATATACATACTAATATACATAATATTAGCTTACTATAATATAGTATATATATAATAATTATATCATAATATGTATGTATCGATGTGAATGTGTATAAATTTCCGAATCAAGGGTCGCTTATTACTGTGTCATACATACACAACCTGAATCTATATATATGTGTAACTAGTGTAAATGAGATATTATCATATTTTTAGTTAAGGAATGTATAAAATAGGGTGCATATCACCAGTGGCGAGTAGATGAGTGATTGTAACTCATAATGGATCGCGGTGGCAAATACCATATACTCATGCTAATATGTGTATACATATATACTCGACATAAGAATGTGTGTGTATAACATATATAAAATAATATAAAATATATATAGCAGGTATGAATTAGTGTGTGTGTGTGTGCTTTATGTAGTAGTTGTTTATCGGTCGTTTGCTGGGTGCTAAAATGTATGGATATTCGTGTATAAGAGGGTTTAATCTATTCAATTTATTTAATGTCATTTGAAAAGACATCATTAGATTATTACATTTATTGCACTTGGCAAGTATTATATACCAGATGTTCGTTTTTACATTTTTTCCATATCAGTGGGATTTATTTTTTTATCTGTGAGTCAAGTTTGTATTGCCTGTGCTTCTCCCTATAAAGGATCGAAAATTATTTTAATGCAATTATTTATTTTGGTTTTTGATATGACTGTTGTTCCTTGCACATTTGATTTATTAGACATCAGGTGCTTGAATGTACATTACGCAGTGGGCCTCGGTTTTAGGAAGGAGAAACGATCTTCTCCGTGAATAGGGCTATTTCTAGAATATTCTAATCTCAATGGCTCGAAAGTTCGTGGTATCCGCGAGCCATATCGTCTTTTATGTACGAGAACAGGTCCGCGGAGCTTCATCCGGGAACTGAGGGAGTAATACTGGACTCGTTATATCGTGGCGAGGCGGATCGGTAGGGGCGGCCTATCTAACTGGGTATGGTGGGGGCTTGTTAGCTCGATGCCGAGTCGTGATTATCTCGCCAGCCACTCGTTCAACTCTAATCCAAAAACCCACCTGATATAGTATCCTTCAGGCTGTTTGCTTGGTAGGTGGAGTTCACAACGTTAAAAAGTAGACAAGTCACATATGTCCACACGAAGACGCTAAACGTTGAAATAAAAAATATCCACGCACGGAAGTGTTTGCAACATGGGAGGACAAAGACACGCATAGATAAGAATCAGCATAAAATATCACCAAAGAATAAATTAGCATGAACAAAGTGAAAGAATATCATACCTAAAATTATCGAAAATACGGTTCACTTGTAATGTTATATATGGATAGAAATCCGGCTCGGCTAAACTGATTTATACTGGACCCGGCTATTATCTTGCGAGGAGAACACCCTTAGCAAATATACGTTTCCATCTCGTGAGCGAGCCGTGGTACAGGATGAGAGGCTGTCATGATTTTTCAGCGTAACAACTAACTAATAGGCGCACCAATCCGGCTGGTTTCTGGGCGCGAGGGAATCAAGATTGAGGAGAATGTACGCAGAACGACAATTGGCGTACTTTATTTTTCCTGTTTTAAACTAAAATAAAAACACTCATAAGTCGTTAGCGGTGTTGTGAACGGGTGGCACCATTATAAGAACTTCCTTGGGTTGCAGGAGAACGGCAAATCCAGACATCCGTTCTCGGAATCGAACGTCGTGATTTATTTCTGGATAGGATGTTGTAAGGGCATTTTAAATGGGGGTGTGCGAAATTACTTAAGATTTTACTAGGTTGCCTTTGCGGGATGGTTTTTCTTTTAGAGCGAAAATTGGAGCAATCTAGTGTATAAGTCATAAGAGCGGTTGGGATTTCGGACGACGATTCAAGGCTTCTGTCGGAATACGTCAGTCTGCGGGATGAGGTTGGTGATTCATCCCCGTCTGAAACCCTACAAGCTGGTTTTCGAAATAACAGAGGATGTATTCAGAACATCAACTGGCGGCCAAGGTCAGCGCGGGATAATTTGCTATCGGAAACGGTGTTTAAGTTCCTTTTAGGCCCTGTATTCCTACAAATGGCTGAGGATGGCCGGAGATTGAAATAGAGGCTAAAGTCACAGTCACAGGCGTCACACAATACAATGGAGATGAATAGGCCTAGAGTTATTAGCCATTTTCCATTTCAAATGCCAAGTTGTACAGTGCACATGCAAAACGAGCGCAAGTGTGTGTGTGCGCCTATTGTGCATGTCTCTTTGTCCGTTCATTTCAAAAATTTACTCCTGCCACTCTGTCCCTCTTTTTCATCCTTCCAACCTCACCCTTACTAACCCTTCTTCTCCCCAGGATGAGGTCGTGGACGCTCCTAGTGCTGACGGCGGCGCTGACGGCGTCGGCCGAGAAGCTGGGAAACATCGAGGTCATCACGAGAGACCAGCTCGGCCAGACTCTCGACCCTCCAGCTGGGTAAGTTGAAACAAAAGAAGGAGATATTTATGTACTCTTGAAAGGAAAAAAAAAAAAAAAAAAAGGAAATATGGAAATATATTTATACACTTACCCAAGAGTAAAGTGAAGTAAAGATGATTTCAAATGTTACTGGAGTTTGCGGTGCTTCCGTTTTCTTATAGTTACTCCCCAAATAGGTTTTCTTTGATATTCGCAAGGATTCCGATAACAGAAAACCACGCTAAATGATCTCAGAACGACCACCATATTACCACCACCACCATCACTATTGCTTAATCATCTTACCAAATCTCAAATTCCCTTAACTCTCCTCCGTTCTTCCAATATTCTTAACCAATCTTGACCATCTATTTCCCCACAGAGGAAGCAGCTTTGGCCTTCCCCTCTCTAGCCCTGTTCAAGACGACGTTCCCCCGCCTCTTAGCTACCTGCCGCCGGTCCAGGTGAGTTAATTGGAGAGCTGGAACTAGAGAGATAGAGAGAGGGAGTGAGTGAGTGAGGGAGTGAGTGAGTGAGGAGGGGGGGGAGGGGGAGGAGAGGGAGGGGGAGAAGGAGGGAGGGGGAGGGAGAGAGGAGAGAGGGGGAGAGAGAGAGAGAGGAGAGGAGTGAGTGAGGGAGGGAGGGAGGGAGGGGAGAGGGGAGATGGAGGAGGGAGGAGAGAGGGGAGGAGGGAGGAGGGAGAGAGGAGGGAGAGAGGAGAGAGAGAGAGAGAGAGAGAGAGAGAGAGAGAGAGAGAGAGAGAGAGAGAGAGAGAGAGAGAGAGAGAGAGGAGAGAGAGAGAGAGAGAGAGAGAGAGAGAGAGAGAGAGAGAGTGTGAGAGAGAGAGAGGAGAGAGAGAGAGGAGAGAGAGAGAGAGAGAGAGAGAGAGAGAGAGAGAGAAGAGAGAGAGAGAGAGAGAGAGAGAGAGAGAGAGGAGAGAGAGAGAGAGAGAGAGAGAGAGAGAAGAGAGAGAGAGAGAGAGAGAAGAGAGAGAAAGAAAAGAAAGAGAGAAAAAGGGAGAATGGAGAAAGAGAAAGAGAAAAAAGAGAAAGGGGGAGATATACGTGACCTTAAGCACATATGAACATAAGCAGATGATCTGGTCAGAAAATTCCTTTGGATCATTGGGTAACGTTTACAGGAAATTCTACAGGAACCTACGCAAGAGAAAAAAAAAAATACAGGGCGGGCTAAAGCCAATGAAAGAGAGAAAAAATACAGAAGGGCGAGCTAGAACGAAAGAGAGTGATGGAAAGGGACAGAGAGACTTACAGAAAGGTAGAAAGGGAAAAGGTGTATGAATTGTAAAAGAAGTATGCCTGACTGCACTAAAGAAAACGTATTCCCCAAACACGAGTTCGTTTTCTATGTTTCGGATGCTGATTTCAGGGTAAACAAAAATAACTTGACACACGCATCCTGTTTCCTAACACGTGTGTTCATCTTTCCAGACCCCCCTTCCAATCGAGCCTACCCCAGTGCCCCTGCCTACCCCTATTCAGCCTGAAACCGACTACTTGCCCCCTGTAGCGTCACCCGTGGGACAGCCTGAGGTCGAAACACCCACAGGCCTGTACAACCCGCCCACAGCGCCCGCCCCCGGTACAAATTTCCCCACCGGAACAGGTGAGATATCTTGCCCATAGAGATTTTAGGAATGTTGGAATGGCACGTTTATTGTTAATGCATGGATATAGGAAATAAGTATACCATAATTCAATTTGCCTGATCTTAGAAAGTCGTCGTCTTTATCTCATGAGTCTGAACCCAGGTTGAAAAATCAGTTGTATGTAATATAGTGCCTGCATAATGAGGAATTTTTCTATTAGCTAAACAAACTCGCTTAAACCGCGCGCGCAAGATGGCATGATCTTTCCCGCGCAGTTTAAGCAGAAAATCAACACTAACCGCGCACTTTATCAAAGATAAATAGATAAATAAATGATAGTGCTAATAATAACCCTAAAAGCAGTGAGTCTTCAACTTCATAAGATGCAAGATTTTCAACCTGGGTCTGTACTGTTTCCCACGACGGTAATCCCGCGTCCGAACTCCCCAAATAAAGCGGTTCTCAAACTCTTCCCGCCAACGCCAGACGACTACGACTTCGACTACACCGATTCCGGGGACAACGGCCAGGACTTCCTCTCGAGTATCCAGAGTGTCCAGGACTCG